ATGATGACAGCACGTCAAGAAACTATGTATTGAGCTTTTCGGGTAGAGAGTATGTGATTAATTGTTCGCCACTCGACATCGCCGGACTCCCTTTGGTAAGATTCGTTTCATTTCGAACCAAAAAAAAAGAGATTGTTGATTTATTTTTTCATAATTTTTTTTTCCGATTTTTGTAAAGGTGTATGCATTGGCTATGCCGCACGAGGGACTTTCGAGCTAAGTACATGTTGGGTGCTAAATACCAACACGCAAGTGCACGTATTGCAAACAAGTAGTAAAGTAGACTCGTAAGAGTCGGATGTCGATCCCACAGGGAATATGCAAATTATTTAATCCTATGTACCAAATCCTAACAATTATGATTTTTATCCAGCCTACGCAGGGTTGTCAAATTAATTAACTAAATAAATTAAACTAATTAAGAAAGCAAATTAATCACGAGAAAATATCAATATAAAACGGATCTAGGATTTTATCTTCCCCCTATGCGATAATTCTTGACCCAGTTAATCTCCTATCATGCAAGTTACAATTCCCGATTATTAACCCAAGACACGAAATTACTCATAACCAGCTGTCGCTGGGCTATAAGCCTATAATTCATAAAAGATTCACTATATGTCTATGCAAACCTAGTATAAATAAATCATTAAATAACAAGTCTCGCAAACGGCTACCTAAGGTATTATCTGTATGTCTACGATAATACATGCAATTAACACACTCATCCGGTGAGAACTACTCGAAGGCTCTTCTATCCTTGTTCTAATTATTAAAACGATCTGTCAATCAATTCTAACAATAACTAATAGCAACATAAGTTAGCTACGCTCATGCACTAAATACGATCAAAATAGAAGAAATAATCGAAGAATTAAACTTGCATAAAAGTCGAAAAAGAGGTTCGAATTACCACATAGGGTTCCAATAAAATCCTACAATAAAAACTTAGTTACTCATGTTCTCTACGAAAAGCATAATAAAAATACGAAAAAACATAAAGACTAAAAAAAAAAATCAAAGAGGAGAACTATGATGAAGAGTCGTCAAGTCTTCGTCTTCGTTCTTGTGCTCCTCGATTGCGTCTCCAAAGATGAAAGATAAAAACTCAAGATAAAAGATCAAAGGTAAAAAAGTCCGGTAATTGTGTGCTTTTGGCCTTTAAATAGGGTGCAAAAATATAATAGGGCGGGTTTCCTTGTGTAATTAAACTTCCTTCACTGCGCCACCTCGACCATCCGGACGGCCGTTTGAGATTTATGCTGAAATTTGCACGGCCGCGCGGTATTCAATTCTTCAGAAATCTGATTATTTCACTTTTGGCCCCTTTTTTCTCCGAATTTGCAGTTTTTACCCCATAAGTTGCCAATTCTTCAATTTGCACCTAAAATACAAATAAGAACCATTTTAAGCACCAATTATCATTAAAAACAACCAAAAGCTTCAATTAAAAGGTACAACTAAGTGTAGAAATATACACTTAATAGTACACAAGAACATAAAACTGGCATTCGTTCTGTTAATGCTAATGATTGGCGTTGTGGTTATTACGATCTTGACATTCGTGTATCTAATTGTCGAAGCTGCGGGAAGAGAGATGCATCTCTGTGGGGCCCTCATAAGCCAAATGGAAGCAACTCAACAATCGGAGCGAAAGAGCATGAACAAGAGCTTAGCCTTTGCAAGCGCAAGCCATGACATACGTGCTTCTTTAGCAACGGCCTGATAGAAATATGCCGGAACGAGGTTTCGAAGCGGGACCCACTTAGATCGGAAATACCTGCGAATCAACTGCAAATGGAATCTTGCACGAGGGATCTTTTGGGAATCTTGAACTCGATTCTCGATACGAGTAAGATAGAGGTAGGGAGAATGTAGCTCGATGAGGAAGAGTTCGACTAGGAGAAACTAATGGAAGATGTGGTTGATTTGTACCACCCTGTGGGTACGAAGAAGGGCGTGGATGTAATTTTGGACCCGTTCGATGGCTCGGTCACGAAATTTTCTTGTGTGAGAGGTGATAGAGGGAAACTGAAACAGATTTTGAGCAACTTGTTGAGCAATGCTGTGAAGTTTACGTCGAACGGGCATGTGGTGGTTCGAGTTTGGGCTAAAAAACCGAGTCTTGAGAGCGGGATTATTACTTCGAACAAAAGCAACTCGATAAGGTGTCTTTTGTGCTTGTTCAAGATCCAAAGAGCGTATAGTGAATCGGAAGCTACTCAAAGGGAAACAAATAACCGCGTGGAGTTTGTTTTTGAGGTGAACGATACGGGAAAAGGGATTCCGAAAGAGAAGCAAAAATCGGTTTTTGAAAACTACGTACAAGTCAAAGAAACTGCACTCGGTCAAGAAGGCACTGGTTTTGGGCTAGGCATTGTTCAATCTCTGGTAAAACAAACTATAATAACTTTTTTTTTTCTTTTTTTGTATTTTTGCTTTTTCTTGATTGATGATGGTGATGTGTAGGTTCGTTTAATGGGCGGGAGAGAGGAATAATGGATAAAGAAGCGGGCGAGAGAGGGATTTGTATCCGGTTCAACGCGTTTTTCTAAACGGATAATAATTCTTCTCCGAGTGCTGATATCGAGTCTATTAGCCATGACTCATTTTGCCACTCAGGTACTAGTTTACGTACCCACAGCCTGAAAAATGAAGGCTCACAAGTCCTGCTCTTGATTGATAGTCCCGAAAGAAGCACTCTCTTGCAAGGTTTCATGCACAGAATCGGGATTAAAGTACACGTTGTGAAGCAGTACGAACAACTCTCTCCGTCTTTGAAGAGGATCAAGCTGAAGCTGAATTTATCCTACTATAGCTCTTCGGGAAAATCCACTACTTCTAGTGCACGTTCGAAAAAAGAGTTCCCCTTGAGTGCTCTAGAAGGAACGGACGACGTTTTACCTAATCCTCGTGCCGGTTATTCGGGCTTTGTTTTGATTGTGATCGACACGAGTGTGGGCCTGTTTAGGCACATAAGTAGGGCCGTGGCTGAATTTAGAAGGGACTTGAGTGAAAAATGTTGCAGTAGAGTTGTTTGGCTTGATAGTTTACAAGGGCTTGATGAGGATAATCTGCCACCGTTGGATTTAGTCATTTCGATGCCGCTTCACGGGTCCCGCTTGTATCAGACTATTGGGCTTTTACCTGAATTTGGGGGGCTGCCGCCCCCAAGAAGGGGAGAAGCTTCACACAGTGTAGAAAACATTCGACGTGGAAATGATGTTGCTAGTTCGGATGGGGGGGCAAGTAAGAGTTATGTGAAGGGATCAAAGTGTGAGATTGAGGAAGTTTGAGGGGCAAACAGCAAAAAGAAGCCGTTGCTGGGGAGGAAAGTACTCGTGGCGGACGATGATCCAATCGGTCGAACGATTGCTACTTTCGTGGGTGTGCAACTTGGTGCAAGTATATTTCCGTGTGAAAACGGAGAAGAAGCTTGGAAACTATTCTGCAAGAGTCTAGATGAAGGAAATCATGTTGGAGCTTCGAAGACTTTACTCCCTTTCGATTGTATACTAATGGACTGTGAGGTAAAATAAAACGCCCCGATCTTTTTTTTTCAATCCTAATTTCTTCGACAGTTTATTGTATATTATCGATATGTGTATTATTTTGGCAGATGTCGGTGATGAATGGAGTCGAAGAAACGGCAAGAATCAGAAAAGCAGAGGAAAGTTACGGTGTTCGTATACTAATCATCGCACTAACTGCACACAAGAAGGGGCAAGAGATCGATAATATTTTTTGTTTTATAACATGACATGAGAAAATCTTCATAAATATTTGTTTATATAAGAAGAAACAAGCTCTACTCAATTCGTACCAGTAAGTATACAACTAGGGCTTTTAACCGAGCCTAAGACGTTCGTTAAAAAACCATCTAAACAAATCATTTGTCTTAAGTTGTCACATTCACATTCTAACAGTCCCAATGTTAAACTTGGTCTTAAGAATCGATGAAACAGATGTCGAACGTATTTGGATGGATCTGCCACACGTTTAAGGTTGCGTATTCCTCGAAGCACTCTTTCAACTGGGCTTCACTGTATCCCTGTTAACAACAAGATTCGCTCGATGATTAGATATCCAGCCAATTAAAGCAATACATCGATCACCATATTATTAGCAAACTTGAACAACTTTTTCAAAGTTGATTTAAATATAATTTATTTGTCGTTTTGTACCTTTCTTGAAATCCAGTTCAGGGCATTGGCATAGCGGACATCCACCTTGTTGGATCTTGCAGCTTCGTCGCGTAGGATAGAATAAATATCAGAAATTGCGTCGAGACCAGACTTGTGACGGTCGTCAGAGTACAGTGAGAACTTGGACATTTGCATTAACCTAAGTGACTCGTCCACGTCACTCTGTACCTTGCTTGTATTTGATGACATAAGGAAATGACTCAATGAATTCCATCCATCGAGCATGCCTCTTGTTCATCTTGTGTTGTCCCTTCAAGTGCTTCATTGATTCACGATCCGTGTGAATCACAAACTGCTCAGGCCAAAGATAATGCTACCATGTCTCTAAAGCTCGAACCAAGGCATACAACTCCTTATCATAAGTCGGGTAGTTTAAGGCTGCCCCACTCAACTCCTCACTAAAATATGCAATACGTCGTCCCTCTTGCATCAAAACAACGCCTATGCCTACTCCGGAAGCATTGCACTCGATCTCGAATGTTTTCGCGAAATTTGGTAGAGCAAGTAAAGGAGCCTTGGTTAACTTCTCCTTAATTAATTGAAATGCTTTCTCTTGCTTGTCCCCCCACTTGAACACCACATTCTTCCTTATCACCTCGGTCATTGGTCTGTAATAGTGCTAAAATCCTTCATGAACCTCCTATAGAAACCAGCAAGGCCATGAAAACTTCGAACATTCGCCACACTCGTCGGACTTGGCCATTCTGGATAGCTCGAACCTTTTCTTCATCAACCTGAATACCTTGTGCTTTTTTTCTTGACCGTCTCTGGTTGGTTGTTGTTGGATGCAGGCTCTTAACGTTTTCCCAATGTCCTATCGGCAACAGCTAATTTACAATTCTTCTTTTCAGTTTGATTCAGTTTTGTGCGCGTCCTTTTGTGCATACCACATGTTTTTTTTGTTTCGATGTCCCGCATTGTTTCTTGTTGATCTTCAAAGTCTGTATCAACATCATTCGGCTTCTGCTCTTCTTTTAGGGTCGAATCAATCAAAATTTGCAGATTCTGCTTCATATCTTTTCTCAGATTCAAGCCCCTCAATTCTGCTGTTCAGATTGGTCACTTATGTTTTTGAACTGCCAGCAGCATCAAACTCATTACCTGCTTCTCTTTGTTTGTTTTGATCAAACTCATTACCTGACATATACACCCCCAAGTCTTCTATGGGAGAATCTGAGTCTTGCCAAAGCAAGAAAAAGATTAATATCGATTAGTAATCAATTGCTTCTCCATCAAAGAAGAATAATAGTCAATAGGATATTTATTAATATAAGCACTTACGGCAGATATCCTAAGAATGCTAAGTAGGGTTCTGACTGTTGTGTAAGAGTGAGGGGCATTTGATTTCGCCTCTTCCCGCCGTAAACTAGAATACGCACTTGCTATGTATTCCTCCAACTCCGTTGGAACAAAAGGAGACAGTTTTCTTGCAGCAGAAATATACGCCCTACAATTCATGACAACAGTTTATCAGATCATGCAAAATCATTCACCAAGTTATTCAGAAAGTAAAATCTTTGAGGTACGATTTTACCTAAGAACAGAAGGTTCGAGTGGAGCAAACCCGAGGTCTGGAGATTCCTTCATCTGGTGGACATGGAGAACATGACGAGCCATTTCAAGATCAATATCCATATCTGCTCGGTCGAGAATCAACCACAGGAGATCAAACCTTGACAGAAGAGCAGGTGGCAGATTAATATTCTCAGCTGGTGTTCTCCTTAGATCATATCTCCCCATTGATTTATTTATTTAAAAAAAAAAGATATTAAAAGTCATCAAACTTAGCATTAGGAAAAACTGAAGCAGGTAAATTGTGACAAAATGAATGTGTTTTGAATTTCAAAATGAAAACCGAGAGTTTGTGAATTTTGTACCAGGCTGGATTAGCGGCAGCAAGTATAGCAGTCCGTGCATTCAAGGAAGTGGTAATACCAACTTTAGCAATGCTGACGGTTTGTTGCTCCATTGCTTCATGTATTGACGTGCGATCTGATTCGTCCATTTTGTCAAACTCATCGATTACACATATGCCCATATCCGCCAGTACCTGATGCAACCGATTGGAACAGTGATGCTTGTAAGTTCACCTTAACTGAAAGAAAGGTAAAAATTGGAGGGACTCGTGCAAGGACTCTTACCAGAGATCCTCCTTCCAAGACCATCATACATACGTGTAGGTCTCCTCTAATCTACATTACGACACAAGGGTAGTTATTACCTTAAAAATGGTACAAATTTGTCGGAATTTCAAAACAAAAAAATGGATCCTCAACTTCTTTGGAGAACAAACCAGCAACATGCGACGCATCATCAGTTTTGTGGCATGGTATAAAATGCGCCATTTTAGAAAATCTATCAACGACAACAAAGATCGAATCCCTACCATGTTTTGACCTAGGCAAACCTAACACAAAATCCATAGAAATATCAATCCATGGTTCATTGGGAATAGGCAATGGTGTGTATAAACCATGGGGCTGTACTCGAGACTTCGCTTGACGACATGTAACACACCTACTACAAATTCTCTCAACATCTATGCATGTGTGGCCAATAAAAGTGTTCTTTCAGCATGTGTAATGTCTTTTCGAAACCAAAATGACCCATAAGACCTCCCCCATGCAATTCAAGCACAAGTAATTCACGTATAGAACACAATGCAAAGTTTATCTTCCCTAAACAAGAATGCCTCATCCCTATAGAACTTATCAAACGCACCCTTTTCACATGCTTGATAAATAGTACCAAAATCAGCATCTTGAATTTAAAACTCCTTATTTTTTTTCAAAACCAAGTAATTTAACATTAAGAGTAGAGATTAAGGTGTACCTTTGAGACAGGGACAAGCTTATCCGTGCAAAATGTACATTTCTGCAAATTAGCATACAACTTCTCTTCCTTAAGCGCATGTAAAACATATTTCAAATGCACAACATGATCATCCAGATATTTGCTATAGATAAGAATGTCATTAATACAAAGCAACAAACATGCATAAAAACACTCGCTCAAATGGACATGCTCAAACGTGCATGTAAAAAAACATGCGCAAAAGTGAATTCGCAGCAACGTTCTTAAAAACACGAACTACAACACTAGAACTTTAATATGCATCAACAAACAACAGCAAAAACACTAGACAAAAAAAATACAGTTTAGTGTAGAAATAACACTCTACGTTTACGTTTAAGTGGATATTTTTTTGGATTAATTTATATTTATTTTTTAATTGGTGGATTTGGTATCTTATAGGTACAAATCGAAAATTAGGTGTACATGAAGCAAAATATGATCAAAGAGTAAGAAAAGAGTTGCAATTAGGAAAATAAAATCAAATTTGAAGTGAAGATCCCTCAACATCTTCGGTAGTGTCCACAAAGTCGAGCATAACTTTCTCATCCGGATGTTAGAGTATGTGACCAACAAGCCAACATGCGGCTGTGGTCTTTCGTATTTATTATTGTAATAAACGAACCTTTATTCGTATTAATGATAAAACACCTTGGCATTCTATATCTTTGTCCCTTTGTCACAAGCATAGATATAGTCCTTACAGTTATTACAAGTACTAGTAATTGATCGTTAGGATCGTGAGATATTTACTTAAGTATTATAACTGTTAAACGTGTTCCTAGTCGAAGGGTTACGCCACTAATGAGGATATCGGCCTTTCCCATTAAGACTAGCACTTAGTGTATGTGTACTGCATCTCATCAGTAAACGGTATTGTGATATCGGCATGCATAAGTGGGTGCTCGTAAGTTGACGAGTTCACTGAACTCCCTCACCCTAGAAATCTCTAAGTGGTTCCCAATAATCGAGTAGAGATATCTATGGTATAGTTGTACACCATTAGTCCTTATGACCTAGACATCACCGTGACTTCACTAGAGGACCAGCTGTATCGTGACCTGTCCCTGAGTTCCACCGAGGACCATCCCAAGGGCCAGTGTTCGTGCAGTCCGAAATCTAGTGAGAGGTCTGTGCATTGTAGTCGGGGATTCGATCGCTAGAATAGTCTTGGATGTCCTGTGTGTTCTGATAGTTTGTAATCATTCTAAGTCTCTGGCCAGAGCTGACTAAGTGATGATTAGAGGATTCGATTCTCTAAGTCATGCACGTGACGATTACAATACTTAGAACGATCGCACCGTCATTAAACATATAAAGAGGTCTCGATGAACCAATGCCTCTAATTCAATCGGGACATATGAATCGAAGGGACCGTACTGTGCGTTAACTATATCTGAAGGTTCTTGCAGGCACTGCATTTGTATCTAGGGAATCATGACGCGTAGTTTCTAGACGCCAATCTTGATTCGTTGGGTGATTAAGGTGAAACGAGCTTCATCTTAATCGTAACTCTAAGGGACGAGTTTTGACCACAAAGAGTTGTGGGCCCACGGCTAGCTTACACCTGAACCATCGAGGGTCACACTGCTCGTGCACATGAGATCTTTGAATAAACGGTCAGAGATAAAATAGTTTATCTTTGCATGATTGGAAGTCAATATGATTGGGTCCAACATTCGTAATTTGGAATTATGAATGAGAATAAGAAAAGGAAAAGAATAGGCGAAAGTATTAGTGAACTTTCTAAATCGGGAAGTTTCCAAATTTAGAAAGTGCACTGAACTAGGGTTTCCACTTTTGGAAAGTTGGAAATCGAGAGTTGGCACTCGTAATGACGAGGACATTATAATGATTCCGAAAATGTAATCGTTACAATTTTCCGATCATTGAATTGAGAGAGACGAGCAAGTAAAGGAACTAACGAGCTTAAGTTGTTGGGCCCGTTCCAACTTAAGCCCGTTAGGGTTTTATGCAACGGACTATAAATACATGATTTATAGGCCTTGCACACAACACAACACAACCCTAACCCTAGCAGCCATCCACCTCTCACTCGGCCTCTCTCTCCCACGGCCAACGCCGCCGCCCACTCCGCCGTTTCGCCGGAATCGGCCGTTGATCGGCCGATTGGCTTGGTAGTCTTCTTTCCTTCTCTTTTCTTCCATTTTTCTAACTACTTCGTGTCTAGTGCCACGTTTTAGTAGATCGAAGTATACGAGGTGAAATCCGAGAGGAGGAAGACTGTAGATCGAAGAATCGAGGAGCAGCGCACGAGCCGAAGCCGCACGCTGCCCCACGCGCCGCCCCGGAAGACCGCGCGTGTACCTCACGCGCCGCCGTGACCTCACGCGCTGCTGCTGCTGCTGCACCGCTGCTGCCCCGATTGTACGGCTGGGTTTCCGTAGCAATCAGGACTTGCTAAGCACTCCTACCTCACGCGTCGAGAGGTAAACACACGAAACCCTAGTTTCGATTCATTTACGTTTAAACTATGAATTCATGTTTGCTATCATATGATTTTATGTGATTATGTGTAATCGTTTCAATCTTTGCAAGCATGATTGTTGGTTTAAACGCGAGCATGTTAATTGATTTAAATTCGGTTATATTTATTAGCATGTATGTTGTTTTAATTTCGCTGGAAGCGCAAAGGTACGCAATTAATTGATTTAATTTGTCGGGCATGTACTTGTGTGTTTTAAAGTCGTTTAAATCACATTAAAATTTTTGTTTTCCGCTGCGTATGCGTGCCCGAAACCCAACAGTGGTATCAGAGCTTGTTGCGCAATTAATTGCGTTCGTTTTAATATGCTATGATTTTATGCATGTTCGATTTATTAAAGTAGCGATTGTCGTATTATGTAATTGGGAGTTTTCGTAAGTTTAAAATATTTTTGAAATATTGTTTAGAATTTTTCCAGCTTTAAAATTGTTTAAAATTGGAAAATCGGATCTGAAATTGTTTTAAAAATGTCGGTTTTTAATTGTTCGGATCGAACCGGTCGAACCGGCCGGTTCGATGGTTGTGCACGATCCAATCGACCGAATCCAAGTGGATTCGGGTCGGTCAGACCGGTTCTCGGTCCGACTGACCCGGCCCACTCACTTGGGTGAATTGGACCGGGCAGAACCGGACCGTTTCGGTCCGAACCGGTCAGACCGGTCGGCCGAACCGGTTCACTGAAAATAAAAAAAATAAAAAAAAAAAAAATATTATTTCAGATTTCTAATATTAAACTTAAAACAAATTGATTTTAATTTTTGGAAAATTATTTTCAATTAATCCCAATTAGATAATTGGACGACAATCATCTATTTTAGTAAATAGGTGTTAGATTAATTAATTAATTTAAATTGTTAAATTGATTTCAATTAATAGAACACATTCATAATTTTGATTATGATTCAACTTAATTAGTAGTACCTCAACATTATTTGAATTATTTATGCTAGTTGAGGTTCTATAATTATTTTGAAAAACTCGATAATTAATTAAAGTAATTAATTGTGAAATTAGGTCGTATGTTCCTCTTAGGACAATATGCGCTTCCATATACCTTTAGAGAACATAGATGTAGGAATCACATAGACCAATCCAAAACCTTCTGATGAGATAAAACATTTTAATAAAAATCCCTCATTCTTAATTTAATTAAGAATCATTTCAAGCTATAAAGAAAAACCCAATCTGTTGAGTTATTTCTTTCCTTCTGCCAACGGTTTGATTATGTGTAGCCCTTTACTATAGTGCAGTAAGCCGTGTTAGCGGGGAGTGCTATGGTAGAGTAAGCTGTAATTCAATTGACATAGTGATGAAGGTAGCCGTAGAAAAGGGTTATGTTGAATTAACGTGGTCGGCTAGATTAACTAGGGACTGCATTAGTTTGGCATCTT